ACACTATCCTTTTTGAGTGACAGTTTGATAACTTATCGTTGTTACAGTTTTGTTGTGTTGTTTGCAGCAGCCATATTATCATTCATGCCTTTTTCAAACCGACATTCAAATTTATAAATTGTGCAAATAAGACGCCGTAAAAAAGAAATATATGAATAAAAATGGATGATAAAAAAATTGGATGTAAATTTTTAATAAAAATAATAAAAAATAGGCTTCGAATTTTATTGGCTTCTTAATGAAATCTCGGTGAGATTGTTGTTGACCATTATGTGGATTTTTATGGGCATTTTTGGTTTGATAAATCACCTTAAATACAATTCGCTTCCCTCAAAATTGTCATTCGGATCACAAATGTGACCCGTACCTTGTTTACAATTTAACATCAACAAACGACGGACATGCATAAATCTACTCAGAAAGTGATTCTGTGCATGTTTTCAAAAAGAACCATGTATCTACCTCCTTTTTTCATGGACTGTACTGATCCTTGAAAAAAAAAAACTTTTAAAAAATTTACTTTTCAGTTGGTTGTTCAAAATATTAAAAAAAAATCCACTCCAAATTTTTCAAGAAAAACTATTGAAAAGGTCCTTTAAAATGAATGCTTCATTTAAAATTTTATGAAAATAAAAATTTATGTCGTTATACTATACGTCTTCATTTAAGTTGCACCCAGTTCATAATTGCTAACAAGAAAAACAGCTGTTTGGCAGCACATACGTTTTTGACGCCGTTAAAATACTCGGCATTAGCGACGACAGCGTGTAAAAACGACAAACACAAATCAACGGCTTCATAGTCTTCTCGGGTACTTTGTGCGTTTTGTTTCTCGTTTCCCGGAGTTGTGAGAAAAAATTAAATTCTAAAATATTGCAAATTTAATACATATAAATAAATATACAAAAGTCAACAAATTGATTAGTATTGATAAAATTGTGCGTTGTGATTTATAATTATTAATATTATACAAAAATAAATTAAATATATAACAAAAAAGTGAAACGAAATAAAAACCCCAAGCAAAGAAATTGCCTTGAAAAGAAAGTTTATAGTTGTTGTTATTGCAAGTGCAATTTTTTCGCGGAAGTAAAATAAACAAATACGGAAAATTATGCGATAATAAGAAATTACACATAGCAAAATATTTTTTTTATAATTGGGCGTATGTGTGTCGTCGGTGGTATTACGTTAAGACCATAAATACAATTAATTATACAATTATCGATTACAAATTGAATGAGCAGAAAAGGAGAAAAAAATTAAATTAACTTTCACCTTATTGCGATGTCTTAACAAAACAAAAAAGAAGCAATACAAATAAAAAATATATATGGCCAAATTAATCCACGAAAGAAATAGTGCAGTAACAAAATAAGATATTGGCCAACAACAGCAATTGAAACCCAAAAGAAGAAGCAGAAGACGCTACAACCCAAAAAAAGAAATAGTTTTTATTTTTACACAACATTAATTTCGTTTTGTTCGTTTGTTTGTTTTTGATGTGTGCAGTAACAGAATTATTGACATACATCTTTACTTAGATACCTTTCTGGGGATAACCAACCAACAATTTGCAAATACAAAAAAAAAATAGTTCACTCGAGGTGGGGGATAGGGTACCAGACAGACCGACAGACATATTGATGTAAAATTAACCACAACAACATCGCAGAGCGATAGTGTAGGTGGTGGTGCATTATTGTAATAGTCGTCTTTGTTGTTGTTGCTGCGGCTCTGTCATTACATATACATTCTGTTCGTCTTCTACTCATGTACTAAGGCGTATAAAAAAGGGACATGTGATTATTTTTTATAGATACTACCAAGGCGAGACAAGAGGAAAAAAAATAATAAATTCCACACTTATCATCATCCTTTGTCTACTACTTGCTTGGGCTCGACGGCTGTGTGTGTGTGTTCGGGTTTTATCAATCATTATACCCTCCACTCTAGAAGGTAGTGCAGTGTATATTTGTCATTCCATTTGTAACACCTAGACATTTTTATCGGAAATCCTAGTGAAAATTAAAATTTGCATCGATTTAGGCACATCCGTCCGATGTCCTGCATTGAAATTACCATAAAGTTTGCAATACTCCTACCACTCCTTGTATGTTCGCTGTTGAAAAATGAATGTATCCGTCAACATTATCAAAAATATACTACTTTCGGCACGGGATAGATGAACATTTCCGCTACCCGATTACATTTTCCGAAACAAATCTATTTTAGTAAAAACGATCAGCTTTTGGCTTAGGTCTAGTTTAGGACCCTCTCGCGGATCATTGTGGAATTTTTATCACATGTAGTTCTTGGGGTCCTGCTTACAACGGTATACTTTTTTCTTGCGAAAATCGGTATTTCCGGAGATATAGACGTCCAAAGTTCCGTTGGGACCCTTATAATTTCTCACGATATTTCAAATTTACTGAGGCAATAATTTATAGCGTTTAAAGTCTTTCTTACATAAACACAATTCATATTAAAAGGAGATACGATCACGTAGCCGAAGTGGTCACCTGTCCACAGGAGAAAGACTTAAATTCCCACAGGAGAAAGACTTAAAACACCCATACTGTTTTACAAAATTGAAGAAGGGTCCAGAGGAATTTTGGAGACCCATATCTCAGATTGTATGAAATATTTTTTTTTGTAATCACTGGGCTTCAAGCGCTTTAAATTGATACCCACATTGCCTTGGTAAATTTTAAAAAAGGGAGAAAATCCAAGGGTCCCAACGGAATATTGGATGCCCATATTTCCGGAAATACAGATTCCCGCAAGAAAAAAAGTATACCATTGTAATTAGGGCCCCAAGGACTACATGTGGTAAAAGTTTCAAAACTATCCGCGAGGGGGCCTTAAACTAGACTTGTTCAAATTCCCGTTTACCCGGTTATTTGATCAGGAAGTTTGGGTTCGCGTTTGGGAGATACAGTCAAAAAATATTGACTATAATGAAAGACTACAATTTGCTCTCTTCAAAATGGTGCGATATGTGGCCATATCTATTGTATATCAAAAGATTGGGCCTTAAAACCCGTTAAAATGATACCCATTTTGTATTAATGCTGAAGTCTTGGCAATTTGGAAGGAAATCTGGATGCAGAGATTGTTGAACCGCGTCACTATCTTTGATGACAGCCATCGTTTCTTAAAGCCAAATCAAATCCTCTAATATCAAGTCAGAGGTCGTCTTCGAGTGTAAAACAGCTTTGGAAACACTTACTAACAGCTATCGACTGGTCTGTGTACCAGAACGGTTGTTCCATAAGCCGAGATTAAAAAAGATTTCCAAGCGCGTCGGTCTTGTGCGCAAATCCACCAATTTGGAAGACCACGTTCCAAGATGTTGTTTTCTACTTGGTCTTTCCATATTGGTCTTCCCTTCCCGTTCTACGGGAATCATCAGTAGGCTCGTTTCCTAGAAAAATATTCTTTAAAAAATCGTTTCTTCAGAAATTCAGCATACCTACAAGTTGTATACAACTGTAGGGATTTTCCAAGCAGAAATCTTTGCGATTAGCAAGGCAGCAGAATTGATAACAAGTCTGCATGAAGAGATCGTTGAACCATTGAATACCTTTGTGGACAGTAATGCCATCAAATCGTGTAATATCAAGTCTTAGGTCGTTCTCGAGTGTAGAACAGCTTTGGAAACACTAAATAACAGCTATCGCCTGTGATGGGTACTAGGGCACTGTGATTTCATGGGCAATGCAAAATCAGACGAATTAGCTAAATGAGGATCTCAATCTACAAATCTAGCAATCGCTGATACAATTAAACCAACCAATGAATTTTGGCACAACGAACCTGGGTGCAATGTGTCAAGATCTATCGGGCCGACTCTGAGCAAAGCTAAAATTAAACTAAGGGGCCAATTGAAAGGGACCATGATGTTACTGATTACTGCAGACTCTGTGATGACAAGGAGGAGACGGACACAATTGAACATCTCCTGTGCCTCATTCCAGTTCTGGCCTACATACGATATATATTAGTGGTTGTTCACTTTCCACCGCATCTAGCCTTCTATTCAACTGTGGAAACTGCATTAATCTATAACATCGTCAGAAATCTGAAGTGGATGGGAAAGCGAAACCTGGGCACATAACATGCTTTTGTCCAAACTTCTACAACCATCAACACTCAAACTTTCTATTGTTTACTTTCTTCTTTAATTCTTGATTAGCTTCTGTCTTCTCTAACCCCTTTCTCCTCTACAGAACTCCTCATCTTTCTACTTCGATTATTACAGTGGACCGGAAGGTCTCCGAGTGTTGCAGTCACAGTTAGTGGATTGCACATCCCCAAACCTAACCTTCCTCAATAGTCATTACATCATATTTTACATAAAGACTTGTACCTGAAGGCTTGCAAAGTTCAGTTAACACAATAATTCAATTTGGTCGTTCATTAACAAAGCTAATTGTGTCCTGGAAATGATCCGATATTTAATCGAAAGATCATCTTGACTGTTCGGGTTCTTGCTAGTTGAAATGTATCTTCGTAAACTTTTTCAATATAGATCCTTGTTTGGACATAGACTCCTGTCACATGGCCGGATTGTTAAAGGATTGCCGCATTTTATATAGGTTCAAGTTTTGACATGCCCCATTTAAAGGTCACGCCCATTTTTCGGTATTTTGAAGATTTTAGTCTCCTTTTTAAAAGTTCCACCCCATTTTAGGTATTTTGATGACTCTAAACGCATTTTCCTAACGAAATAACACAAATTTAGTATTTAAGGTTCTTAATTTTAATTTTAAGATATTTTACGAACCCACCTCATTGAGCAGGGTATAAAAAGTTCGTCACGGCCGAACTTAACAACTTTTCTACTTGTTGTTGTCGTTATTATTACTGGAATATTTATGTAATTGACGTCATATTACAACTCGTTTTCTTATCTCCTTCTTCTTCTTTTGTTGTTCATTTCCCTTCCTCATCCTTATTTGTATGTATGTGTGTGTTTGTTATCATCCATTTTAGTTATGGCCAATCCAGCTCCTTTAATGAGTTTTGTGGAATTTGTCAAATCTGAAGCTGAAGTTGGTGGCGGCGGCAAATACTCCAACAGCTCATCGTTTCCCGTACCACCATTGCAGCTGAAAATTGCCAAATTAAGTTATGACTTACACGAAGAAATACGCAAATGTACCGAAAATTCGACAATATCGAAACGTCTACGCGAGGAACTGGAAAGGTAAGTAGAAAAAAAAAAACACAAAATATTTGTTTCCTTAAAACAATAGAAATTAATATCTATTAATAATAATTCACATTCACTTTAATTATAGCAGCTAATCATCTGAGTCTGCATGCTTTGATGTTGTTTTTTTTTTTTTCATTTTCGCTAACATTGAGAACAAGTCAATGAACTTGTCAAACAATTATTGATGCTTTTGGATTGTTCCATTCATTTTCAAAATCATGATTCTCTTTTTTATTTAATGTTCTCTGTTTATGATTCTGGTTTTTTATTCGTGTTGTTGTTATTTTTATTGTGCGCTTTCGTCAAAATAGCAAAAGTCAACCAAAACAATAACAAAAAAAAAAAATACAAATGCAAACCGGAACCACTGGCAATGTTTACAAACATTATGCAGCAGCCAATCTCATACCGGTCGATCGTTGCCACATGCTCTTTAGTCTCTTTGACCGATCATTTCATTAGATTTTATTTCTCTTTGAATTTTATTACGATTGCCCGCCTGCCTGGTTGCCAGAGTTTCCTATTTTTTTTATTATATTAATAAAAACGAGTTTTTTTATTTTTATTCTAAAAAATACGGAACACTTTATGCAGTTAGCTATGAATAATGCAATGAGTTGTGATTTCAAAAAACGGGATCCTGATGATCACTTTTGTTTTTGAATAGAGCGAACACATGATTTGCTTTTAAATAAACTTGTTCCAGAGATAATCTTGTCTTGCTAGAGGTCTAGAACGATCGATCCATGACGTGCTAGACTTCAAATTGGACATTGTGTTATACTATTAAAATATAATAGACTATGTATTACGGGAATGATATAAACCATTCTGTTTTCTAATTATTCTAAATAATCGATCACTTACCTAAGGTCTCATTGCATCATTGCGATCTTAGAAAATTATAAAAATATGTCAAGCAATATTATATAAATTTTAATATAGAGATAGAATAACCTATAGAAGAGGTGTTTATCTATTTCTCAACAAATTTTTTGATGGTTATACTTAGAAGTTGTAGCACACTTCGATCATTCATGTATAGTGCCGGTCACCTCATTAGCACACACCTGAAGGGAAATTTGGTTTGATTAACCCTCGGTTCGTTTGGAATATTTTTAAATGTTTTTTTATTCAAAATACTTATGTGTACTGTACAGAGAACAGAAATTACCACGGATATATAACGGTATTTATGAAACAAGTCAAAATTTACATAATTGGTACATCTTGGAAGTTTTAACTGGAAAAGTGAAACCTTTATTATTTAGTGCACAAATTGCATGAACTCAGACAAAAATATATAGGGGTTATATTTACATATGAACATATTTTACAAACTCCAATACGCGTTATTGTAGCTCCAATATTATACATTGTGCAGAAATTCGTCCTAATCGAAAAAATTTAATTATTTGGTACATCATCAGATTTCAGATTTCAACAATTTTCAATCTAATACTCTCTGCAACATTTTTTATGTAACGCCACCAAACTTAAGCTCTCCTCGGTCCACCATTGGCATGAACTAGGATGAAAATATATATGGGAGCTATATCTAAATCTGAACCGATTTCAAAGAACTTCGCATACGTCTATTTGGAATATATACCTACAGCTCTTTCAAAGGAAGAATAATACCTGCAGCTCTTGCATAGCAAGAAGAATACCTGCAGTTCTTCCGCAGGAAGGAAAATACCTGCAGCTCTTCCACAGGAAGAAGAATACCAGCAGCTCTTCATCAGGAAGAAGAATACCAGCAGCTCTTCCTCAGGAAGAAGAATGCCTTCAGCTCTCCTATAGAAAAAAGATTACCTCTAGCTCTCCTATAGGAAGGAGAATACCTCCAGCTCTTTCAAAGGAAAAATTTAGAGTTTGGTGCACCATTTAAATGATCCGATTTCAATGAAACTTCACACATTCTATCATAAGTCAAAAGGCATGACTTATGTTAATTTATCAAAAAAAAAAAAAAAAATAAATAAATAAATAAATAAAATTTCGGTATCAGATGCAAGAAAAATATATGAAAAATATAAATGTGTTGGATCTAATGATAGCTGTAAATATCTTTGTTGAAGGAAGCGCGGTACCTCTAAACTGGATGAGGACCACATTTCAATAGAAGAGTGAAAGAGGTATGAGAAGCTTCTTCGCAAAGAAAAAACCACTAATGCGCGTCGCAAATATAAAAAAGGACTTTTGTTCGCCAAAAAGTACATACATATGCCAGAAACCTTTTGGGATAGAGTTATTTGGACAGACGAATTCAAATTTGAATTGAAGAATGAGAAAAGGAGGGAGCGGGTATGGTGCGAACCCTCAGAAAGGCTGAGACCGAAGAATCTTATTCATACAGTTAAACATGATGGAGGTAACCTTATGGTATGGTGGTGCTTCTCTACAACGGGAGTCAGTCGCCTAGTAAAAATTGATTGCAGAATGACAGGAAAAGACTACGTAAAGATTTTGAGTGAAAATATCGAAGAAAGTGCACGAGAAGTGCAATTGAGATCGTTTATTTTTCAGCAGGATAGCGATCCTAAACATACTAGCCGAACGGCAAAACAATTTATTAAAGAAAAATGTATTGAATGGCCCCCTCAGAGCCCAGATTTTAACCCTATCGAACATCTATGGACCATTTTAGATACCAAAATACGGATGGAATCGCGAACAAACGTTACAACATTCTGGGAAGCAATGGTGAAATTATGTTTTTATGGTTTTTCTGTTTCTGATTGAACTACCAAAAATAGCTTTATATTTTTTATATACTATACACTACGTCTTAAATAAATGTGGTTTAATAGGAATTCATAAAAAACCAAAAAAATGTCTATGTATTAACATATTTTTTCGTCTTTTGCACTTTATTTTGTCCGATAGTGTAATTAAATGCTTTTTGTCCCCAAATAATACATTTTTATTTGTAGGAGAACAATGATTTGTGATCAATTTGTCCTTGAATAATTGTGTGAGAGCATGTTAATATAATCCATCTTATGCAAAGAAAGTAAACAACTTTTTTGTAAACATGTTGAATCTTGAAACCCTAAGGCAAGTTGAATTTTTTGATTTAATTTGAGTATGATCATTTGATCGACCCCTGCGACTTAGTCTTCGTTTTCTGATTTTACTTTGTAATACATTTCACATTATGACAAAATACAAAACCAGTTTTAAGAATATTTTGCGTGATGACCTTATTTCTCACACTTAGAACAATCAAAGAAAGTCGAAAACTGAACAACGTTAATATTTACACAAAACAATGAATTTGCATAACCATTTAAGATGTTGAGAATACATCAATGAAGTGAAAGTGAATTTAACAGTTTAGTTTTTGGAAGCTCGTGAAGGTTGTACCAATTGTTTTTATTTATTTCAATTTTAACAAAGCATTTAGGCCAATAAATGTAATACAGTATGCAAAACGTTATGATTTAACTACTCAAACATAGGGACAATTCATGATATGTCTAAATATAAAAATTGATTCTAATTAATATTTTGGGTTCCAAATCTTCCTACCAAAAATTATCAATATGGGTTTTCGCTTTGATATAGCCAGCCCACTTATAAGAGACTATCCCCTCTATAGATTTTACAAGCGAAGTGATAATATTTTAGAATTACGAAGTGGTTGTAATTTGGCGTATTTTCTATAGTCCATGTTACTACATAGCTCCCATGAAATGGTCAAGAGTCATTTTTCCGTTGCTTCAACACATGTTGTCGATACAATGGATAGGCTTATGTGAAATGTGTTCCACTTAGGAATAACGAACCAAAATTCATCGAAATTAGATAAGAAATGGGGAAAATAAATCCGATTTACATTAGACAATTTGTATTGCCTCAGTTCAGTTGTAACAGTCCTATTGTTTTTACACAATGGGCTGATGTAAAAGACGTTATTCGGATCGTAGGCCCCTCTGACGAGGAAACGTTCATCAGTTCATTATTTCTTAGGTGAGAGAAAAGGACTGACAATCTTTTTAACCTCTACTTACTTATATGGCTTATTACAGAACGGCTGTTCCATAAGCCGAGCTTAAAAAAGATTTCCAAGTGCGTCGGTCTTGTGCGCATCTCCTCCAATTTGAAAGTCCATGTTCCGAGATGTTGTCTTTACTTGGTCTTTCCATCTAATTCGTGGCCTTCCCCTTCTGCGTGAACGATCAGTATGCCTTTTGAGCTGGGACATTTTCATTCATTCGCACAACATGGCCTAGCCACTGTAATTGCTGCAGCTCAATACGACTGACTATGTTGATGTCCGCATACAGATTCTAAAGCTCGTGGTTCATTCGACGCCGATATTTACCGTCGACGCAGATCGGCCCATAGATCTTTCGGAGAATTTTTCTCTCAAACACCCCAAGGGCTGCCTCATCTGCTTGCGCAAGTACCCATGCTTCATCAGCTTGGTCTTCTCGTCATTTCCTGCCAGATGGCAATTTGTTCAAAGGTGGATGTTACCGCTCGCAATGTTCGTCCCATTATATCGATGTCATCAGTGTAGGCGATAAACATATCGCTCATTTGCTGCAAGACAGTCATAACTCAAAAAACGTGATTTTGGAGTTAATGCTGCACGATTGTTCGCTTTAATAGACCTCATGTTGTGTAAAAAATGTGAATATCTCTTTCACGCTCTAATTGAGAAGCTGTAAAAGTTCCTCTGTCCCATATAAAGTGTGAGTAAATTGAAAACGCATTTTCTGCAAAATCGTTTTTCTTTCTTAGTTTTGCTTGCTTTTTTCATAGTTATGCAAATGAGCGATATGTTGTTTGGTGTACAGAGTGCCATTTCTGTTCACCATTGCCTCTAGTATGACCTTTTCCAGCAGGATGTTAAAAAGGTCACACGACAAACGATCACCTTGTCTGAATCCTCGTTCGGTATTGAAGGGCTCCGATATGTACTTTCCGATTTAACTGACATTGTGCCACTTAAAGTTATCCTGTATAGCCGTATTAATTTTGCAGGAATGCCGAACGCGAACATGGCTTTAAAAACCTCTGAACCGATAGAGCTGTCAAATGCGTCTTTATAGTCGAAGAATAGGTGGAACGTGTCGATGTGTTTTTCGTGGGTCTTCTCCAGGATTTGGTGCAAAGTAAAAATCTGGTCAATGGTGAATCTGCCAGGTCTGATGCCGCATTGGTATGGTCGTCCAATATTGACATGGATCAATACTGCGTTCACGCAGTACACTGGATAGCACTTTATATGCGATGGGAAGAAGACTAATTCCTCTATAGTTGGCACATATCGTTTTGTCTCCCTTTTGTGCACGGGACACTTGCTCTGGCCAAATTGTATTAATCAGCTGGTGCGTGCTCCTTACCAGCCTTTGGTTTGGTGTTTTACCCGTTGGTAAAATTTCCGGACTTCATTCTGACTCCTGTACATCTCGATTTGCTCACGCTCGCGTTTTTCTTGCTTCTATACTATTATCGGGACAAGAAGTGCCTTCGTCAAGCAGGTGGGCGGTGAACGGAGTAGGCCTCTGCTACCTGTTGTGTTTGCAGCTTTTCGACGTCGAGTTTCCGTGTTGTGTTAGATCGCACCTTTGCTGCAACATTAAGACGAATGCGAACCATGGCTGCTATAAGATTGTGGTCCGAATCGATATTCGATACTCGGATCGTTCAACGTCTAATACACTAGATGAATGCCTTCCGTCTATCACAACATGATCAATTTGATTTCTCGTTGCTTGATCAGGAGAAATCCAGGTGGCGTTGTGTATATCGAGATGTTTGAATCTGGTGCTGCTAACTACCATGTTTTTTATGAAAGAGGGACCATAATAAGCCTGGGCTTCCTTCACCTCACTTACCTATATGTAGACGACAGTCGTGCGAACAGGTATAAATCAACCCTGAAAGTGAGTTGACCACAGTATGATGCATGCTATAAACATATCGGATATGATTATTTTTACTAAAATAAAACAAATTATGTATGTATGGTATGATCTATGACATGACCTCATAAAAGAGGTGTATCACTCGGCTTAAAATATTTTCAAGGTTTACAGTTATTCATTTTTATGTTGCGGAAAACTCATAATTTCTATACGCTTGAACTTGACGTCATATTCACTAGCCATAACTCTGTTTTCAACTGTAATTAATACAAATTTTAAATCTTATTTTTGTTTATTTTTTGCAGTTACAATCGCGAGACCAGACGTGAAATTGTCCGACGCATGAGAGGTGGTTGTGCTCCCTTGTTTATTGCCTGCAGTCGTGGTTGTGTACCAATTGCTGAATATCTAGTCACCATCTGTGAAGCTGATATCGAACAAAAAGGTATTTTCGAAGCGCCGGAAGATCGTTCATATCATATAGCTACACCGCTGTGGTGTGCAGCCGTATCAAATAATTTACCCATGGTTAAGTATTTACTACGTATTGGTAGTGATATAAATGCAGCATCCGATACTGGATCGACGCCGGTGCGTAGTGCCTGCTATATGACACACATGGAAATGGGTGAGTTTGTAATGAAATTTTTATTTATTGAAATAGTAATTGAATGTTATTTATTTTGTTTTAGTCAAATTTTTGGTCGAAAATGGTGCCGATATAAAACGTCCAAATATTAACGGTGGAACTTGTTTAATTAATTCAGTTCAATCACCGGAACTGTGCTTATATTTAATACGTAAAGGATGTGACGTTAATGCTGTCGATATACAGGGCAAGACGGCGTTACATTATGCCATACAAGAACACAGGTGAGTAATATAGGGTAGACAATTATGAGTTTAAAAGCATGGATATGAATCCGTACGAAATTATCAATGGGAACTACATATTTATCATGTGCGTCAGTTATATGAAATCGAAGGAATTGTATATAAGAGCTATGTCGAAATCCTGAAGGATTTAGAGCAAACCTAGATTTGATCTAGATGCCTCTGATGCCCCTATAAAAAAACAATTAAAAAATCCACGCCTAAGATGGTTCTTGAAAAATTATTATACCCTTCACCACACTCTGTAGTACAGGGTATTATGTCTTTGTGCATATGTTTGTAATAGGCAAAAGGAAACGTGATAGACACATGGTTCATTTTGAGAATATGCATAGAATCACTTTCGAAGTCGATTTATGTATTTATTTATGTATGTCCGTCCGTCCGTCCGTCTGTCTGCCCATGTTACAGAGTACAGATTGAAATTGCGAAAAATCGGTTCTGATTTAGATATAGCTCCTATATACATTTTCGTCCGATTTTAAGTAAATGGTGCACCAAAGACCCTATATATTCTTCGATTGGCACGAAATTTGGCACAGCGTACTGAATTAGGTCTAGAATGATATGTGCTAAGTTTCGTGAAGTTCGGTTCAGAGTTAGATATAGCTCCCATATGAATTTTCGTAAGATTTTAGATAAATGGTGCACCAAAGACCCTATATATTCTTCGATTTGCACGAAATTTGGTACAGCGTACGGAATTAGGTCTAGAATGATGTGTGCTAACTTTCGTGACAATCGGTTCAGATTTGGATATAGCTCACATATATATTTGCGTCCAATTTAAGGTAAATGGTGCACCAAACTCCTAATGTTTGTCGGATTGACACGACAAACTGAGACTAGAATGACGTTATTGCATTTTGTTGAAATCCGACTTTACTACTTTTCTTTTTGTTTTTTTATTTATTATTTAAATATATCCAATTTTAGGTATATCCTCAGAAGTATCTATGGCTTTATTTTACTTCCTTCTGCATGATTAATAAAAATGCACAGAGGCATTAACCCCGGGCCACAGTGTGCTGATGAAAAGCACCGTTATTCTTTCTTTTAAATATATATTTTTATTTGATGTTTTTTCCGACTGAAAACCACAAAACCTTTTTATTTTAAATATATATTTTATGTTTTCTTTTTAAACCGTTTCAATTTCAGACTGGAAACCACAAAACTTTTATTGGAACATGGTGCCAATCCAAATGCAGTTAGTCGTCATGGTGATGATGCTTTACGAACAGCCTGCCTGAAAGGTGCTCATCAGATATTTGACTATTTACGAAATAACTTAGAATATCCTTTGGAGAGATTAGCCGAAGCTCATGAGTTAATAGGTAAGAAAACAATCATTTAAAATCAATTTAATATTAGAAACAATTCATTCTTTTTCTTAGGATCAACATTTTTGGATGAACACAATGAAAGTCGGGTGGCTATATTACATTGGCGTCTGGCACACCATCTAAGGGCTTCACGAACACCATATATAGGTAAGTTGGGCAAATTTGGATATAATAAAGTAATTCAAAAGTGAGAATAATTTCACTTGTCAATTAGTTTAAAATAAATTAATCCGAATATTTTTTCTCAATTCCAGAAAAACTTCCAAAAGTTCCTTTGCGTGAAGCCTATCGTAATGCTGTAGAATTTCGTACACTCGAAGAACTCGATAACATTTCCACCGATATGGATGCAATGCGTATACAAAGCCTACTTATATGTGAACGCATTTTAGGTATTTCCCACAAAGATACCCTCTTCCGATTAACATTTCGTGGTGCTTCATATGCTGATTCCCTGCAATTACAACGTTGTATACAACTGTGGACGCTGTTGCTCGAAGTTCGTGTTCAACACAATACACTATTGCATTTCGATACATGTTTTGCCGCACAGGCGTTAGTAAGACTTATGCTGGAATTACATGAACGCAATACCGATTTGAGTGAAAGTAATTCTGGTAATGTAAAATTGCCATATTTTAAAGATGTTCTAGCGGTATTTAAACTACTGACAGAGACTGTGGCCGAATGTCATGCCCTGCTGCAAATACGTCCAATTTCACGGCGTCAACAAGAGAATTTTGATAGTATTTTTAAGTGTATAGCACATGCCATATATTTGTTACTTGCCACAGCGTCAACAGCCGAAGAAACCCGCCAAGTTTATTTGTCGGTGAGGAAATTGGTACAGGCCAACATAACAAGTGCTTGCACGAATGACTCGCTCTTACATTTGTGCGTTTCACGTTTGAATGTTATCAAAAGCGGACTGCTTAATGATGAGAATTTAAATGTAAGTATAACAATGTGTGTGAGAAAATATGGAGATTTTGAAATATTTCCATTCAAAAGACCAATAAATTGTCAAGGGGATTTCTTATAGAAGATCGGAAGGAGGTCCCATGGAAAAGCAATCCTTTTTTTATAGTTGGCAAGTGGTCTTCGTTTGAATGAATAATATATCAGAGAAAGAGAAGACCAAAATTCAAATATGACGATTTTTAAAAATTTCTATTTAAAAAGCCAAGAAGTGGTTAAAAGGATTATTTTTAATACCGGGTGGTCAGGCAAGAGGTATTTTTTGGATGATAGAAAAATATGTCAGAGAAAGAAAAGACCAAGAGGTCCACTAGAAGACCCCAGATTTTCTTATTGAAGACCACTATGTATTGTTATAGAAGAGTTTTGGGTCTCCTTATTGACTCCCCCCATAGTCCTATCGAAGACTAATAGATTTATTAATGGAAGACGAAGAGGTCGCCTTATGGAATAGCAAGATAAATTGGAAGATCTGGAGACCATTGGAAGATAGAAGACCTTATGGACCTCTATAAGAAGTTTTCTTTACATTCTATAAGAAGACCTAGTTTTTGGTAAGAAACCGTCTTGATTTTCTTTAAAAATACCTCTTGACTTTCTATAAGAAAAGTTCTTGCGACTTCTATTCGAAGACTTCATGGTCTCCTAAGCAAAAGACCTCTTTGTCTTCTATAAGAAGGCCTCTTGGCCTCTTATAAAAAAACATATTGGTCTTCTGTACGAAAGATCTGTTGGTGACTTCTTGGTCTGCAATGCAAATGACCTCTTGGTCTTCTATACGAAAAAGGCTTCTTTGTCTCATATGGAAAAGATCTCTTGGTCTTGGTAAGAAGATTTCTTGGTCTTCTATAAGAAGACTTCTTGGTCTACTATTCGAAGACTTCATGATCTCCTAAGCAAAAGACCTCTTGGTTTTCTCTAAGAAGGCCTCTTGGCCTCCTATAAAAAGACATATTGGTCTTCTGTACGAAAGATCTATTAGTGACTTCTTGGTCTGCAATGCAAATGACCTCTTGGTCTTCTATACGAAAAAGGTTTTTTTTCCCATATGGAAAAGACCTCTTGGTCTTGGTAAGAAGATTTCTTGGTCTTCTATAAGAAGACTTCTTGGTCTTCTATAAGAAGACTTCTTTGTCTTCTATACGAAGACGTCTTGGTCGTCTATATGAAGAGCTATCAGCTTCTAAACAAATACCTCCTGGCCTTATATTCCAAGACTTCTTGGTCTTCTATGCGAAGACTTCTTGGTCTCCTATGCAAAAGACCTCTTGGTCTTCTCTACTAAAACTTCTTGTATTTTTTCTTTTCTCTTTCTTCTGTAATTTTCTCTTTCTCTTTTTTCCCAATCAGGTTATATTTCCAAATGCATCCGTTATTAAGCTGCTGCTGAATTGTGGTATGAATGTCAATGCCAAAAATGAAGTCAAATCTACTGCACTGCATATAGCTGCCCAACCATATAATTTCAGCAATGAGGTAATGTATACACACCATCAAGCACATTCACCATCGAACATTCTTTTATCCTTCGTATCATTTCTTCTCATTTTACAGATAATAACATTACTTCTGAATCACGGTGCCGATCTCGATCAACCAAATAAATCGGATGAACGTCCCTATAATTTGATTGCATTGAATGCAGCAAATACAATTCCACTTATGAATTATATTAATCTTAAATGTTTGGCTGCCACAATAATTAGTAAATATCGCATACCGTATCGTAATCAAATACCAAAATGTTTAGAGACTTTTGTCAAAGAACATGAACCTTGAGAATGTCATCGTCATGGTCATTATTATCAACAGCAACATAACTATGAGTATTCAAAGAAATTATTTTTATCCTAAATGTGGCAAAAAATTATATGTTTTCTGTTCTGTTTTTAATTTAATTTTTACAACTGTGAGAATGATTTTTTACGATTTATTTAATAAAGAAAACTAAAAAATAAATACTACATAAATAATCTAAAAAACGTAAATAAATAAAATACAATGACAACAATGAATAACAATACAATGCAATTATCATCAACTTATAATACATGTATAAATGCATACAAGTGATATATATAAATCTCGAATAATAATGATTGTAAAATATAAAAGAAAAACAACAACAATGTTATTACCTACTACTTACATACATACAACATATAAATATAAAAATATATATACAAACATGATAAGGAAATTATTTATTTTAAAAAGAAAAACAAAATAAAATTTACTATACACTCATACATACATGTATACACACATTTAATCACCGGAGTTGTTGAGCTTAAACAAGTGTAATTTATTTCACACTTAAGTTATTATACTAAATAAACATCTACCACTATTATTATTAACAAATACTTTTGTTATTTAATATACTGAAATCTCTATGTGAAAGAAATGTTTTATGAGTAACTACCTTTTTGCTCATATATCTTCTATGGGAAATGTTTTCACTGAATCTTTTTGGAGAGCTGACAAATCAAAAGTAAATGAGGGATACATTCGTTGGCAAATTTTCCATTGAAGAAAGACAAGGAAAGAAGACATCTGGGTATTTTATAAGAAAACATATTGATTTATATAAGAAGACATATTTATCTTCTATATGAAGATCTAATGGTCTTTTATAAGATGTCATCATAGTTTTCGATAGGAAGTCCTCATGATCTTCTATAAGAAGATATAATTGTCTTCTATAAGAAGACCATGTGGCATTCTACTCGAAGACCTCATGTTCTTCATTAAGAAGACCTCATAGTCTTCTATACGAAGACCTCATGATATTCTACACGAAGACCTCATATTATTCAATAAGAAGTCCTCAGCGTCTTCTATGCAAAGTCTTAGAAGACCTCATGGTCCTCTATAACAATACCTCATGTTGGTATATAGGATACAATTTTGGTCTTCTACATCATAGGCTTATATTGGAAGATATTATAGACTTCTGAAGTAAAACCTCATGGTCTTCTAAAGGAAAACTTCATGTTATTATATAAGAAGATCTAAAGGCCATTTATGGTCTTCTATTCTTATAGAGGTGATCTCCTGGTCTTATAAGAAGTCCTCTTGGTGTTCTTTGAGAAGATATATCAACTTTTTTAGAATATCTCATGGTATTTTATAAGAAAATCTCTTTTTGGAGAAGACCCCTTTATCTTCTATAGCCAAACCTTTTTTTGCTCAGTATAAGAATAACTATTTAGCCAAAATGATGTATTTTTACGGTATAAAAAGGCAAGAAGTTGTTTTGATTAATGATAAGTCCTTCTAAAGAAGAAGGTCACTTCACTTTGAAGGCCAAGAGGAATTGTTCTTCTAAAAGACCAAAGGGTATTCTCATATAGCAGACCATATAAAAGTTTGTATAGCTTGATATACAAGACCACGAGGTGTCCATAGAGAAGACTAGCAGGTATTCATGTAATCTTCCTATAAAATGAAAATAAGGAATATTTTTCAAGAGCAATCCATAACAGTGGATTTTTTGAAAAATATTTTGTTAAAGAACAACACATTTTCAAAGACCAACTGAAACTTGAATTTTTCAAAAAATATAACTAATAATCCAATCGGTTCCAAATTTTGACACATTTCCCTGGGAATGTACAGCTATCGTATGAACTAGGATAAAGCCAATCCTTATTTTTTAACTTAGTTTGTGAACAAATATAGGCGAATTACATAAAAAAAATAAATTTTGTTAATTTTTGAGCGAAATTAATAATCTTAGTTCATACGAGAGTCAGACATGTACTCTTTCCAACACCCTTGGAATTTCCGGATTCCGATTTTCCAGTGAGGAGTTATCATACCCGCCATAAATAAAAACAACAACCAAACTTTGCAAATTAGTTTTCTTCTCTTTTAAATCTTCAACTATATATGTGTAAAGTTATAAACTTTAACATGCATTGGTATTCAACATGGCATAATTATACCATAGGTATTCAATTACCAGCCCTATGAAAATCTTGAAAATTTAAAATCGAGAATGGGGTGAGGACCCCTTAATAAGATATTAAATTTAGTGAATGTCAAAACTAAGTATTATTTTCTTAGCATATTATTTTAAGGGTGGGTTTAAAAATATCAGCCTTATTCTGGATATTTGCTAGGGAGATATCTCGCATGTAAAAAAATTTCGCTTTCACATTCTCGCCTTATTCTGAATGAATAGGGAGATGCAAAAAATGCGAGATGCAGATTCGAGTTTTCGAAAACGGTGGTTGAAAAAAGATTCGTGTTGCCATATCGTAAATTAAGTTGCGCTGTGTGTGGCCATATTGTAATTTAAGTTGCAATGTGTGTTGCCCCATTGTAATTTAATTGTGTAACATTTTTCAATATATTATTTATTGATTTTTGTTATTAAAAATTGTTACTTTTTATTGTTATTTAAACTATATAGCAATACAAATGTGAAATATCAAGAATCCGCTGTATAAATGCTTTGTAATTAAAAGAAAATAAATTAAAGTTTGAAAATATGGCAACCTACAAATGGCATGTCAAACAGCTGTTCATTGTTTTGATGCAATTTGTTGCAACAACTACAATAGATTACAAATAAAAGAACATTTTTTATGATGGCAAAAACACAACGATTTAATTAATTAATTCACAGTTTATTATTTCACTACATAATTATGTGCCTTTTTATTTAATTCCGATATTTTATTCCCCAAAATTATGATTTGCTTTTGAAAAAAAAAAATTGTTCTTTCATAATTTTTATTTAAGTTTTTCACTGTTAAGCGGCTCATCAGGCAAATTTGGGTTTTCCATAATTTTTTAAATTTTTTTCTTGAGGGACAGATCCTCACCCAAAATGTCTGTATTTCGCCTCCAAAAATCAAACTCGACTTAAATATTTCCTATTACCTTCATACATTTCTTTGCAATAATTGGTTCAGCATGCTTCGTTATCAATGGGATTTCCAATGGCATTTTATTGGTTGTTTTCCAGTTAAAAATTTCCTTACTATCATTTATAATATTCTAAATCGTCATAGAATAAGTATTGTGTAAATATTTTTCATAAAAATAGTTATTACTTATGTTTTTGTAGTCAACTCCCCTTACATTTATTAGCGAAAAATTTCGCACAAAATTTCCTACTCCCTGTAATTCAGAATACCTAATTTTTCCCCAAAGCGGATTTTTTCGCTTTCGAACTTCATTCAGAATAAGGCGAAAGCGAGAATGCGAAAAAATTCACAGAAAAATGTTGTTCAGAATAAGGCGAAGAGAAAGAGCGAGTAAATTCACATGGAATTGACATCCAGAATAAGGCTGTATATTTATTTTAACGCATATTAAGCGGTATTTACATTAGAAGGGTTTTGCAGGGTTAACCTATTTTATGAGAATTTATTTGACAAACATGCAATGGAATTGACAATTAAAACCCACTGGGGAAAATAAATCCGGTACAGTCAAAACGTACTACTACTATTACTATTACTACTATTATTTATTAATTATTTAGTCTGCTTTTCCACAGGCAGATTTTTATTTGGCAAATTTTTTGTTTTCTCTTTTGAAATTTTCGCTTGCTTTTCCATTAGCAAATTTTTCTTTGCCAAATTTGCGAATCAAAATACAAAAGAAAGAAAATAAAAGTCAAGAGTGTTTGCATTTTAAAGTTTTTTTTTAATATTTTATTTATTTTTTATTTGCTTTTGAAAAAAAAAAAATTGTTCTTTCATAATTTTTATTTAAGTTTTTCACTGTTAAGCGGCTCATCAGGCAAATTTGGGTTTTCCATAATTTTTTAAATTTTTTTCTTGAGGGACAGATCCTCACCCAAAATGTCTGTATTTCGCCTCCAAAAATCAAACTCGACTTAAATATTTCCTATTACCTTCATACATTTCTTTGCAATAATTGGTTCAGCATGCTTCGTTATCAATGGGATTTCCAATGGCATTTTATTGGTTGTTTTCCAGTTAAAAATTTCCTTACTATCATTTATAATATTCTAAATCGTCATAGAATAAGTATTGTGTAAATATTTTTCATAAAAATAGTTATTACTTATGTTTTTGTAGTCAACTCCCCTTACATTTATTAGCGAAAAATTTCGCACAAAATTTCCTACTCCCTGTAATTCAGAATACCTAATTTTTCCCCAAAGCGGATTTTTTCGCTTTCGAACTTCATTCAGAATAAGGCGAAAGCGAGAATGCGAAAAAATTCACAGAAAAATGTTGTTCAGAATAAGGCGAAGAGAAAGAGCGAGTAAATTCACATGGAATTGACATCCAGAATAAGGCTGTATATTTATTTTAACGCATATTAAGCGGTATTTACATTAGAAGGGTTTTGCAGGGTTAACCTATTTTATGAGAATTTATTTGACAAACATGCAATGGAATTGACAATTAAAACCCACTGGGGAAAATAAATCCGGTACAGTCAAAACGTACTACTACTATTACTATTACTACTATTATTTATTAATTATTTAGTCTGCTTTTCCACAGGCAGATTTTTATTTGGCAAATTTTTTGTTTTCTCTTTTGAAATTTTCGCTTGCTTTTCCATTAGCAAATTTTTCTTTGCCAAATTTGCGAATCAAAATACAAAAGAAAGAAAATAAAAGTCAAGAGTGTTTGCATTTTAAAGTTTTTTTTTAATATTTTATTTATTTTTTATATATTTTATTATATAAATTGCAAAAAGTAAAAATTAAATTTCACTTGCCCAAATTAAAGCAACAGGTTTGTAAACAAAAGCCGGCTGTGTGCCAGTAAAGCGAATAGGTTCAAAAGAAAATG